CCCCACAGGGCACAAGGGTCCCAGAGCACCCCCAGGAGAAGACCTTCTTGGTGGGGGTGCTGCTGGGAGTTGACTTCCTGGGCAGCCCTGGAGTGTTAGCCTCTGTTAACCGCCCACGTTCTGGACAGTTCTCCTCCCACAGGAGCCTCAGTCACCCAGATCTGGCTACTCTGCCCCCTCCCCTTCTAGGCTCGCTAGGTCCACTCGCAGCCATGACCTTCCTGTCCCTACTGCCTCCGTTCCAGCACAGGCCCAAAGTCCAGCTCACCTGGCCTGACGACAACCCCAAGCCCTAAGTGGCCTCCCTGCCCTCAGTTTTTCCCCTTCTAATCCTTCATTCCCCAAAGTTAATCCAGAAGGAGACCTATGGCAGGAGTGGAAAACAGTCCCCATACGAGCCCCCTCCCCTTCCTGTGCCTGCGGTAGATGTGGCTTGTTGACCACGGCACCCACGGAGCTCGAGCCCAGCGGGCCTTGAGAGGCAGCCGCTGGCCATCAACAGAGCTGGCACTGGAGAGGCCACCTGCTCGCACGGGCTTCTGGCCGGGCTGTCACTCAGATGCTGTGACATCCATGCCGGAGCCCCTCGCACTGGACTCAGCCTGCCTCCTCCCCCACACTCCTCCCAGCAGCTCCCCGGCATCAGTCAAAATCACGCACGTCCCCGAATGTCATGGCTGATTCCCGCACCCAGGTCTTTGCTTGTTTTGTCCCCTTTGCCTGGAACTCCTTCTGTCCACGTGCCCCCACACCTCACCTATATCCTCACCTGACCCCTCAAAGCTAGTCGCGGTCTAGAAATGCTTCCCTGACCCTTTCACACAGTGACTCTCCCAACGGCTATTATTTGCCTGCTCTGGGGACTTCTGTAACTCCCCGTAAATGCCTGAGCATTTGTCCTTGTTTAAAACAAAATTCTCTACAGTGTACAGTTGGTACTCAATGGTGCGCTGGCATAAACCTGCCTATAGCTCTCCACGCTCAGGTTGTGTGTACCTATATACTTGCACCTCTCAGCTGCCACCCACCCGACTGGAGGGCTTTGGGGCGCAGGGCCTGTGACTCCCCCCCCCCACATGTCCTCGCGAGCTGCCATGAACATGGTGATCCCTTTGGAGATGGCAGTGGTCTCAACCTCGCCCTTGACTTGATTCTCCATCTATAAGCCGACCTCTCCCATGTGACTCTCCAGCTCTGCTCCCAGCACTGCACTCACCCACCTGCCCGTGACACGGTACTTGGTGACTCCACTGTGACACACCCACAGCCAAACCCCTGACCCTTTCTCCTAAGCTGTCCATCTCCTACAAGCCAGTTACCCTGGAGGCCTCTGCGTGTCCTTCTCCCTTTCCCGTCGACCCGGACCACCTCCACGGTCCGTTGTGCCTTCTGCATAGCTGTCCGGTCTGGCCACTTTCCTCCACGTCCCCTGCCACCGTCCTGTTTCAATCTCACCTAGGTGTCTGTCCCGGCCCCTTCCCTGGCCTTCTAACGTCCCATCCCACCCTCCCCCTTCCGTCTCCTCAGGCAGTCAGAGGGAGCTTTCCAAAACAGATCTGGCCCTGCTACCCCTCCCTCAACCCCTTCCAGGGCTCCCCAGACCCCTTAGAGGAGAGCCCCAGCACTTCAGCCTGCCCACCTCTGGGGGGACCTTCCCTTCCCCCTGCGTTCCGGCCTTCAGACTCCCACGGGACCCGCCCCCCCCTCAGGCCGTCTGCAGGGCCGCTCCCTCCCGGAACACTGTCCTCCCCTCCTGGCCACCCCTCCTCGCTAACACCCTCCTCCTCAACCACCGACTTGCTCAGCAAAGCCCTCTGCGACCCCAGACCAGGACGGACCCATTTGCTTTCAAGGAAAGACAAGCTCTCGTCTTTAAGAGCATTCTTCTCAGTTTGTTACTCATTCACATTGTTATTTGCCACTTAACACACTCTTCCTGAGCATGCACTCTGTCTGTACCAGGCCCCCGAGACACAACTGGGAACGGACATCTAGTGAAACCCACAGTAAACAGGCAAAGAAATGAACGTGTGCCATAATGTCAATCAAGCACAGATAAGGAGCTAAGGATGTGGATTTGGGGCCGCAGGGATGCTTTTGAGGGTGGTCAGGAAGACCTCTTGGAGGAGGTGACGTTGCAGCAGAGCGAGTGAGTGAGGCACTCGCCTCGGGTACAAAAGGGATACAAAGACTCCGGGATCAAGATTTAAAAAAAAAAAAAAAAATGTACCCAGGCGGTGTCTTTTTTTTTTTTTTAAGTGCAAAAAAAAAAAAAATCGGTGTTCACAATTTTAGATAAAACCGGATCGATAACGGTGTTGAACCATACCGAATGAAGCCTGAGGCCAGTGGAGAAATCCTAAGACGGCCTGGCGTCGGCAGGGAAATGGTGGTGGGTAGACAGGAGCGGGGACGGCCAAGTGGAGAGAGAAGGCAGGACCGGACGACTCCAGGGCTGACACTGATTACCCTCCGTGCCATCCCCACCCCCACTACCCTGCGACACCCAGCAGCCGGAGTCTGTTCCCCAAAAAGCACATCCTAGGCGCTCCCGAGCGCCCGCCGGCCAGTGTGGCGATGCTCCCCGCGGCCACCAGGGGTCAGCAGAGCGCCGCCTGCCCAGCCCCGGTCGAGCAGGACCGCGTGGGAAGCCGGGTTGGTGGCGATCTAAGGAAAGGGAGTGGAGGATTACGGGGACCAGTGGGGACCGGGGCGGGGGCGGGTTCTGAGAAATGGGGCTGGCAGCGGCCCAAGAGCAGACTGAGAAGCACGGGGACGAGCTACTGCTCCTGTTGTTTCTTCCACCCACCCATCCATTTCTTCCTTCAGTGGCAGCCAGGCCACACGGGTCTACAAGCTCGTCCCCAGGGCGCTGCCGCGTGGTGAGGCTGGGTTGCATTTGCAGGAGTTCGGGGGAAGGAGAAGAAAGTGGGGACTGGAGAGATCGCTCCATCCCCCCCCCCCCCCCATGGGATTACAGAGCACACAGTGGATGTAAATGTTAGCAAGGCGAAGAATCCTAACAAAAGCTAATGGTTTGGGGACACTTACAAGGTATCAGGCCTTGTTTGAGTCTTTTTTTTTTTTTTTTTTTTTTTACTCTATCAACTCAGTTTTCACACAAACTCCAGGACGTTGTCATTATGCCCATTTTCCAGATGAGGAAACCAAGGCACAAAAGGGCCAAGTGATTTGTCTGACGTCTCAAGCGAGTGAGAGGGAGCCAAGGTTTGAAGAAGCCCGGCCATCTGACTTCCAAATGACCAGGCTGGCTGTCGGCACAGGGCCCAACGCGGGGCTTGATCCCACGGAACTGTGAGATCGTGACCCGAGCAGAAACCAAGAGTCGGACGCTTCACTGACTGAGCCGCCCCGGCGTCCCTCCTCCTCTGTCTCTTATGAGGACACTGGTCACTGAGGTTAGGGCCCACCCAGACGATCCAGGATGATCTCCCCTCGAGATCCTTAATTTAATTACATCTGCAAAGACCCTTTTGCCAATAAGGTCAAATAAGATCACTTTTGTAAAGTTTCCAGGGTTAGGACGTGGACATATCTTTCTGGGGGGAGGGGGGCCACGACTCAACCCCCCTTCAACTCTTCTCCATATTATTATTATTATTATTGCTGGCGCTGGTATAATTCTTACTACCTTGAAGGGCAGTTCCGTTCGGGGCTGGAACCAAGTGAGAGACCCCGATGTGGAAAAGTCCGCAGAACACAGAAGGCAGTGACAGTGAGGGGTGGGTGCCTAATAATTGCACAAGGCATCTTATTGTGGCCCCACCCCCCACCCCCCACCCCCGCTGCCTCCCCAGCGAGTGCGCAGGCTCTTGCCCCTCTGGGGGGGGGGGGGGGAATCTGCAGCGTCATGGAGAGAAAAGCCCTCTCTCTCTGGAAGGAGCGCCCTTGGACCGGAGGAGGCATCCCCACTGGCCGGTGGCCTTGCCTAGTGTCCCTCAGGGGCAGAGGACGAGCCCAGCGAGCTGCTGACTGTCCCTCTGTGCGCCCTGCTGTGACAAGCCTCCGGTTCTGTTCCATCGAGGTTCGTTTTCTTTCTGTACCTGTGGACAGGTGGCAGGTGGCAGGGTAACCCTCGCCATCCTCTTTGAGATTAGAGTTCCTCCCTGACACCTTGGGTGGCCTGAAGGAGACAACATGGGGCCGGGAGATGGGAGGACAGTCAAGTGTCAAGCTGGGTGATATTTAGATGTGGGGCCATTTATGGAGTTGGTGGGGGGGTGTTTTCTCTCACCCCCAACTTCTTCTTGCTAATAATTGTCAGTACTTGACCAGCCTACGTGACATCGTGTATGCGCGTGCGCCCGCACCCTCTAGTCTGTCCTCTAGCGCTTAGCTCCATCTGACACAGGATTTTCTTGTTTTGTCTGTTGTCCGACACCCCCACTAAGACGGGCGCTCAGGTGACAGGAACCTCTGCCTGTCCCTTCCCTGCTGGATCCCTAGAGCATCTGGTATACCGTCGGTACTCAATAAATGTTTCTGGCTAGACGGATCAAAAACAAAAGCGTGACAACTCTGGGGCCAAACCGCG